TTTTAATTCTTGGCTAGTTAGCTAATGAAATGTGAGTTGTTGTTTTAAATATTCTATACCGTGTTACACCACAGCTGAAAGTCTTTTTGTAAGTAAGGTTTTATTGAGCCAAAAGTGCTAGCCAAAAGATAAGTCTTGGGGCAAAGAATCTAAACCAACCGGGTTAGCAGTGGAAGTGGGGTTCTTGGGATACTGACGGAATAGGCATTTCTGGAGGCCCCTGTGGAGGATGAGATATGGTAGAAAGCTTTATTTCTGTGGAATTACATCCCTCTAGAAAGCTAGAAGCAGAGCCAGAGTCTAGTTTCCTTTCCATGCTGAAGCTGGGTCCAGTACACCATCAACCAGTTGTAGTCCACTAAACCATGTGTATAGGGCAGTAGTTGGCAAACTGTGGCGGTTTGCCGCTCTGTTGACTAATGAGTTTGCCGACCACTGGTGTAGGGGTCCACATGGCCATAGGCCACATAGGAGAATACAGGAGGGTGTGCCCCAAGCCACAAGGGTAACAAAGGTCCTGAAAGCTCAGGAGCACAAGAGAATAACAGAGTGAGTTTCTTTGTTCAGGGGATTAAATATCCCAAATCTTGCGTTTGCAGTGGCCACGCCCATTTTGGCCAATTGATACTGTTGTAATTAACCTATCTTACCTAATTATAGACAAACATGTAAATTGACTGTACCGCCTCTATGCCCACAACCAATCAGGAGTGAATATGCAAATTAATATGACAAAGATGGCGAGTTAATTTGCATACACAGGCTGGAAGCAGCCAGATGGGGCTGGATACCTGCTAGGAGGGGGAGAGTGGAACAGAGGGAACTGCAGGAGCGGAGTTCCAGCTGGGAGTGGGGACTTGCAGGATCCTGGGCAGCCGGGAGTGAAGCCAGGAGAAGGAAGGCCTATTCCTTTATTTTTTTAAAAATATATATTTTATTGATATTTTTCAGAGAGGAAGGGAGAAGGATAAAAAATTAGAATTATTGATGAGAGAGAAACATCGATCAGCTGCCTCCTGCACACTGCCTACTGGGGATGTGCCCGCAACCAAGGTATCAATACATGCCCTTGACCAGAATCGAACCTGGGACCCTTGAGTCCTCAGGCAGATGCTCTATCCACTGAGCCAAACCGATTAGGGCGGAAGGCCTATTCTTGCAGGAATATAGTACAACAGGCCTCTAGTTTATTAATAACAGGAAGGGAGAGGCCATTTAGGCAGCCTCACCAGGAAGCTAAAGTTTTACACTCCCCCGGGAACCATCAGTACATTCCCCACAGATCCCTGGGGAAGGGCCTGGACAGGGAGAAGAACAGACACATGGCCAGGAAAGTTGGGGTGACCTTGGGAAGGCACTTGCCTGTCAGTCCCACTTGGAATAAGTCATTGGCCAGAATGGTCACTGCAAGGGTGTGAAATTTGGGATATTTAATCCCCTGAACAAAGGAGTTTGCCCTAAGGCTTTCTCTTATGCTCTTGGCGCCTTGTCCCAGGTTTGATTCCGGTCAGGGGCATGTACATTAGTTGCGGGCACATCCCCGGTAGGGGGTGTGCAAGAGGCAGCTGGTCGATGTTTCTCTCTCATTGACATTTCTAGCTCTCTATCTCTCTCCCTTCCTCTCTGTAAAAAAAATCAATAAAACATATTTAAAAAAAGAGAAAGAAATGTCTGCTCTTGTAGACTGGCTGGGGGTAGCAGTCTGAAAAGCCCTCCCAGAAACAAGTGGGACTCCTGGAGTTAGATGTATGAATGAGAAAAAGGGGCCAAATACTACACCTGACAAGCTCAGGGGAGGCCTGCGTGTCAGTTTTACCAACTAGAGACCTACAGTAACCACACAGGATGGTCTGAAAGGAAAACTTTCTTTTAAAAAAAGTATATTTTACTGATTTTACAGAGAGGAAGGGAGAGAGATAGAGAGTTAGAAACATTGATGAGCCTGCAACCAAGGTACATGCCCTTGACTGGAATAGAAACTGAGACCCTTCAGTCCACAGGCCAATGCTCTACCCACTGAGCCAAACTTAGCAGGGCTGAAATGAAAACTTCTTAACTAAAAGAGGTTCATGGTGGTAGTCATGTCATAAGGCAATATTTTTCTCTTACAAAGGTCAATCTTCACCTTAACTGCCTATTGTTTCTTTGCATCTAGGGTAACATACCTGATCAATATGCCTTTGCAATAACAAAGTAATTTTCCTTTTGCTGGATCCCTCAACACACTGGCACTGAATCTGCAGAGTGGAGACCAGAAATCCCCTAATTGTACGGTTATGCTAATTGTTGACTGTTGACTATCCTGCCACCCACCTAATTAAAAGAAGTATGTGTCTATCATTTTATTTTTTATCCAATCTCAGAGGTTCCCCCACCCATTCTCCCTAACCTATCACCAATGGATTTCATGTAACCCACTTACATCTTTTCTTTTGATTGTAATGCATAAAGTAAGGTGCAAAACTACCTTTTTTTTTTTTTTTTTTTTTTTTTCTGGAGCATTTTCTCAAGTCTGTTGAGGTTTTGCTCTCCAGCAACTGTCCTCAGTTTGGCTCAAATAAACTCATAAAAATCTCTATACATTTGAACGTTTCTTATGTTTCTTATTGGTGCCTGGCTAAAATAACCTGTGGAAATAGCCATCTGGAATTTAATCTGCAATTCCAACAGGCAAAACAGGAATGTGAGAAGTGTTTTTGCTAATTGGTCAGCATCCATTCACGGACTAGCAGTTCTGTCTCTTCCACTCTCCTGCTGTAATTTAATTTAGATTTTTTTTTTCTTATCTCTTTCATAAACTTTATCAAATGTCTGTTGTGATCATCACAAAAAGATTTTAATGCTCAACATGTGGCTTTCACATTGGACATTTTCCAGTCTATTTTACCCTTAACCAGATCTGTTCAGACAAAGTATAATTTTTAGGTGAGGGCTGTTGCCCTGCTGTATCTCTGTTACAGGGAAGTGAAAAGCTAGGGAAATTTCAGGATAAGAAGAATAGGGAAACCGAGGCAGGAAAGTTAAAACAAGGCCAACCACTGAGGGCAATTTGCAGCTGGCTTGTTACCCAAACCAAGGACACGTGAGAGCTAATAATGGTTGAAAGCCTCTCTAGCCAGAGACTTCAGAAAAGGAGGGGAAAAGGGGAGAGGAAAAAGGGCAGTTTTACTCCCTAAGCAGAAAAGCCAGCAGCAGTTTCCAGGCTTGGCAGGATAAAATTGCCAGGTGCTTCTCATGAATTCTGGGGAAGCCCTAACAAAGTAAAAAGGGACCTTGAGAATTAAATGTGTACCAAAATATTCAGCAGAGGTGTGACAGTCGGCCTAGCCTGCCCAAGGGATAAGAACTCTGGAGACAGACCAGGCCAGGGGGGAAAAGTTAAAAAAAAAAAAAAAAAATAGAGTCAGTCTTAACTCAGTGCCTGGAATTCCTTTGTAGTAAGACATGCAGACCTCCCTCCAGATCTGGCTAGGAGATTGGCATCATCAAAACAGCAGCATCCTGCACTCCTGTTTGGAGTCAGAACAGACATTCTGCTTGAGGCAAAACAGGCCAGGTAGTGTAAACTACCTGAGAAATATTGGATAGCTCAGGACGGCCAGGTCTTTGTCCTGAAGGGCCAATCAGGGAGTGACAAACCAACAGTGGGAGGGGAGGGGAAAAAATGGTATAAGAGGAGGGACTGCCCCTCCATCGGGGCTCTTGCCTGGGTGTTTGCTGGCTGCTGCGTCAGCCAAGGTTTGAGCCCGGATTCGAATCTGTAATAAACTCTTGCATGCTTAAATCAAATTGGCTCCGGTGGTTCATCTCTTGGGGACTCGCTTCGTAACAAGAGGGATTCTCTGAAACCTATAGACAGGAAGGTTTATAACGCTCCGGGCCACCAACCCAACTGCTCTTCCAATTAGCTGAGAGCCCACCTGCACTTTATAAACCAGAAATCTAGATTTGCTTGCTACTGTAATAAATTTTCTCGCTTTACTAAAATTGGCTTCACCACATCGCAATCATCTGGCATTTTCTCATTTAAATTCATTTATTATATATGAGAGGACAAGAATTGAGATTGAGGACAGCCCTCTCCCAGTGACTCAGGTGTCTGTGAGAGGTGCCTCTACCATCTCCAAGAATATGAACTTCTTTTTACACTGCCTGTAGGAAGCCCCGACTTTGACATCCAATCAGCTGCACCAGCCTCTTTACCAGCACAAACCACCAACACCTCCCTGCCCACGTGCACAACAATTATTGTCATTCACCATCAGAAAAATGAAATGAGATAAAATGAAATGAAATTGAGGAGTGGAAAATAACTGACCTTGCCTGGAGGGTAGAAAGTTGCTACTCCCTCACCCCCCTGGACCTGAAGGCCAAATCAACAGTCTGGGTTAGTCAAGGCTAAGATAGCAGAACAAACCAAGAAGGGAGATTAGGCCATCTGGCCGATGCATGCAACCACAAGGTTAAGCAATATAGAAACTAATCAGCTTCAGCCCCGTGGACCTCCATCCCCCCTTGTTTGGAATGTGCTTGTTTGAAGAGTGCTTAAAAGGAGACTTTTTTGTAAGGGCTGCTGCTGCTCCTGGCCCGCGGCGGCAGCCCAGATTCGAATCTGCAATAAAGTTTGTTATTTGACTCCGCAATTGGCTAGTTGGAGTTATTTCCCGGGTAGGGGTCTCTGCCTCTTGGGTGGTCTGGTCTCCATTCAACAGAAATGAAATGAAATGAAATGAAATGAAATAATGAAATGAAATAATGAAATGAAATAATGAAATGAAATGAAATGAAATGAAATGAAATGAAAGCAGGCAGCGCAGGGGCTGCACCCAGCGGCGGGCATTTGGACTGCAGAAGCCCGAGGCCAAGGCGCTCCTTCTGCACTGCAAACCCCAGGAGGCGGGTAGCCGGCACGTGGGCCGCCTAGGAAGGCCCTCTGAGTGACAGCCGGGAGGCAGGAAGGGGCGGGGCCAGAGGGCGCGGCTCGGGCGCCCGGGCCAGGAAGGGGCGGGGCGCGGCCGCCCTTCGAGCCGGCTCTGGGCGTTTGTCCGTTTCGGCGCCGGCGGTCGGGCGGCGGTGACAGTTCCAAAATGAGCGAGGCGGCGGGGCTCCGGCAGCGCCGGCCCCCGCGGCCGCCCGTCGTCACGGACGACAGCCAGACCCCTGAGGCCCCGGACGGCAGGTAGGCCCGGCCCCCCTGCGTGACGGCGGCCGTGACAGCGGCAGGGTGAATGCGCTGCCACCGCGCGGCGTGCGCCCGCGTCCTCCTCCCCTCGGCCAGCTCGTTTCACGGGGAGGAAACGGGCTCCGTCCCAGCGGACGCCCCTGCCGGGTCCGGTCCTGGAGGCTTTGGGGGCCCCTCTGCGCTCCGTCACCGCGGTGTCCCGGGCTGCGGGTTCGAGGCCGCCCCGCCCCGCACCTACCCCTCCGGCCCCGCTTCCAGAGCGGTGGTTTCTCCTCGCCTTCCCCTCCCTCTCCCTCCCTCTGGCTCACCTTCCCGCTGGCTCACCCGGTCCCCGGGGAGAGCCGCCCGCCGCTGCCCGGCGTCCTCCCGGCCCGGCGCTCGCACTGTTCATTGGATAATGTACCTTCTGAGGCGTTCTTTATCCTGTTTAGCCCATATTAAAGTTTCTTTTGTAGCTGTCACGTTTCTACTTCCTTCAGACCCCTTTACTTCACTCAGTGCTTTTTTGTCTTGTGATGAATAGTCAACGTTTAATCTAATCAAGAAGACAATTAGGTGAACTATTAAAAATGATCACAAAAGAAACGAAAAACAGAGGAGAATTATATGACCCAAGGGAGGTCCGACAAGGTGTCAGGTCGCCGCTGGAGATCCGTCCCATGAGGGCTGCCCTCTGCACCTGGCCCTTCTCACCGGCGGGCCAGTCCTCACCGAGGCTCCCCGGACAGAGCAGCGCTCCGAAGGGACATCGTCGTTTGGCAATTTTTGTGAGAATTCAGCTTTGCAGATTTCCGCCTGATACGGACCCAGAAGCCTAGGAAACTGTAGTTGTGGATGCCTGATGCAAGAAATATCATATTTTTTGACCTTTGCTGCTTCTCTCAACCTTCTAGAATTTAAGTAATGCTGTTTTTTTTTTTTTTTTAAAAAAAATATATATTTTATTGATTTTTTACAGAGGAAGAGAGAGGGACAGAGAGTTAGAAACATGGATGAGAGAGAATCATTGATCAACTGCCTCTTGCACACCCCCTACTGGGGATGTGCCTGCAACCAAGGCCTCTTGCACACCCCCTACTGGGGATGTGCCCGCAACCCAAGTATTATGCATGCCCTTGACAGGAATTGAACCTGGGACCTTCAGTCCGCAGACGGACACTCTATCCACTGAGCCAAACCGGTTTCAGCATAATGCTGTGTTTTGTTAGCTTAACAACTGTAGCACGATCCTCAGACATCTGTTTTTAATATACAATAAACTTGCGTTTTTAATGTTGGGGCCCAAGTCTCATAGCTCTGAGTATTTTGGTATTCATACGGCTCTGTACAGGCCAAGCTCAAAGCTGTGGAACTGATTAATTTATAGGTTTCGAGAAATAATGGACATATTTATTGGTGTGCCAAGGGGCGTGGCACATATTGAAGGAGGGACAGGTTTGGCAGGGGCAGACTGAATTTATTTCCTGATGATAATAAGAGGAACACCTTTGGAGGGAGAGCTACAGCAGAGAGGATTGGGCTCTTAAAAGACAATTCGATGAGAAGACTTTCTGGTAATATCTGACTTCTGGGCTCAGTGGAAAGGTGGGGAATATAATAGAGTTCTGACTGTAACCATCCTGGTTTTCCCCGGACTCATACTTCCAAGGACGCAGGATTTTCAGTGCTAATCTTGGCAGATCAGGACACGTTGGCCACACCATTGACTGTGGACAAATGAGGCCATCCTCTGCTAATGACCCAGGGGCCTATTAGAATAGTCATGCAAGGACTTTACCAGAGAAACCATATATATCTGTAATGGTCTCTTTCATAGTGAGTTTTTGCCAGCTATCTTCCTTTCTACATTTATTATCATAATACTATAGTGTTTTTTAAAAATATGTACCGTATTTTATTGATTTTTTTTTTTTTACAGAGAGGAAGGGAGAGAGATAGAAACATTGATGAGAGAGAAATCAGCTGCCTCCTGCACACCCTCTACTGGGTATGTGCCCACAATCAAGGTACATGCCCTTGACTGAAATCGAACCTGGGACCTTTTAGTCCACAGGCCGATGCTCTATCCACTGAGCCAAACTGGTCAGGGCTGTAGTTGTTTTTTTAAAAATTGTTTTTGTCATGTAATTCTCCTCTAGTTTTCATTTCTTTTGTCATCATTTGTAATAGTTCATCTAATTGTCTTCTTTTTAAAAAAGATATATTTTATTGATTTTTTACAGAGAGGAAGGGAGAGAGATAGAGAGCTAGAAATGTCGATGAGAGAGAAACATTGACCAGCTGCCTCTTGCACACCCCCTACTGGGGTTGTGCCTGCAACCAATGTACATGCCCTTGACCGGAATCGAACCTGGGACCTTTCAGTCCGCAGACCGATGCTCTACCGCTAGCCAAACCGGTTTCAGCTAATTGTCTTCTTGATTACCTTAAATGTTGACTATTCACACAAGACAAAAAAGCATGAGTAGAATGGGTGAAGTAAAGGGGTCTGAAGGAAGTAGAAACGTGACAGCTATAAAAGAAACTTTATATGTGCTAAACAGGATAAAGAAAGCCTCAGAAGATACATTATTCAATAACAGAAGTAGGACGGTAAATTTTAGTGGATGGGACAACTAACAATACCTTGACTTACCGTATTTTTCGGACCATAAGACGCTCCGGACCATAAGACGCACCAGTTTTTAGAGAAGGGAAATGAAGAAAAAAAGATTCTGAAACAAATACTGTCCTAAAATATTTTATGTGCATTAAAACCCAACATCACAGTCATAAACACATGTAATCAACCCTGTAAAGTAAACAGCAGCATTTAGAACCATTTTAGAGCCGGGCAAGCACACAGAGACCACACAGAGCTGGGCAAGTAAAAAAACTTTTTTTTTAAAGTATATGTGTAGGCTATATTTGGACCATAAGACGCAGGGACTTTTTCCCCCCACTTCTGGGGGAAAAAAAGTGCGTCTTATGGTCCGAAAAATACGGTAACTCCTGATTCTTGGAATGAAAGGTGATGTTAGTTCTTTCACTGATGAGGTAGGTCATTGAAGTTTGTGTGACTGAAGTGGTTTACATAAAGTTACAGAGTATTGGAGTCAAAAGAAATGAAAATGAGTGAAGAAGGATAGAATTGGCAGCTGGGCAATGATTGACAAGCATATTCTGTGTTTGAACTATTGTATAATGGGGAATGCAGTCATTAAATCCACTTATTCAGAGTGGAACATAGCGCTTTAAAGTACCATTGCTAAGTACTTTAAAATATCATTGCAAGCTTATAATTAGTATTATTTGGCATCAATTTCTCCACGTTCTTTAGAAACTTTATTGTTAAAACTATTGAAACACTGAAAATATTCCTTCCCCTTTGAAACATATTTCTGTCTGGGAAGAGAGAATAGCTGTCTCATGTCCAAAAATAACTGTTTAGGACTGAAGAACGAATACATTGAAAATTTAATAGCTATTTTTATTTTTATAGCTTTTTTTTTTTCTTTTTTTTTCTTTTTTTTTTTTTAGAATATATTTTTATTGGTTTCAGAGAGAAAGGGAGAGGGAGAGAGAGATGGGAACATCAATGTTGAGAGAGAATCATTGATTGCTTGCCTCCTGCATGCCCCCACTGAGGATCAAATCTGCAACCTGGGCATGTGCCCTTGACCGGAATTGAACCTGGGCTCAATTGCTTTTCCTAAACGATTTTTAAACTAATTACATATCTCTACTTGGTCAATTTTCCTTTTTCCTTTTTTAAGACTGGAGAGTGAGGCTGGCCCGTGGGGCTAAGTGGTTGAGCGTCGACCCATGCACCAAGAAGTCACTGGTTTGATTCCCAATCAGGGTATATGCCCGGGTTGCAGGCTCAATCCCTGGTAGGGAGTGTGCAGGAGGCAGCTAATTGATATTTCTCTCTCAATGATGCTTCTCTCTATTCATCTCCCTTTCTCTCAAATCAATAAAAACATTTAAAAAAATTACTGAAGAGTAAGAGAAGCAGTGTGGTTCTCTCTCAGATAGGACTGTCAAAAAGTCATGAAGAGAGGAGATAAACCACGATAGTGGCATAGGTAAACACCTGAACTGCTGCCTCGCACAGCAATATCAAAACTACAACTAAAAGACAAAACTAACACTATCCAGAACTACAGGAAAGCTGGCTGAGTGGAAATTCTACAACTAGAAGGAAAGAAGAAAGCACATTGAGACTCAGAGGAGCTGCAAAAGGCTGAGGTACGGAAACACGCATGCAGAGAGGACGGGTGGCTGAGTGCCTGGCTGGTTTCTAAAGTGGGAGGGAGATGGAAGCTCCTGACTATGCTGAAATCTAGTTCTGGGCGAGATTCTGGGAAATGACTCATCCAGGAAGAAACTGGACTGAGGCAGCAGGTGAAACTCTAGGATGGCTTTCTTTCAGAGGTGCTTGCAGCGATTGCCGAGGGACACTGAGACCCAGGGGCCTTCCTAGGGCAGGGCTGATGGGAAGCCAAGGTTGTCTGCTCCTCGGTGCCCTGAGACGCTGCCCCATCCAAGCTGAGGACAGAGCTTTTGCAAGTCTTTTTCCATAAGGGTACAGAACAGAAGTTCTCCCAGCGTAGACACAATTGGTTTGGAGGTCAATTCCTCCCAGTGATACTGACAACAATCAAGACTTAATTACAACGAGGCTGTTCACACGGTTCACAAAGGGGCACAACAAAAGTGCCCACCTCAGGTAACTGGGGGAGGCTGAGCCACGGGGCCATGTAGGACACCTACCACACAAAGCTACTCTATCAACTCAGGGAAGCAGCTAAAATGCGGAGACAAAGAAACAGATCACAATGAAAGAAATGGAGGAAAACAAATGACTGGATATAGAGTTCAAAACCAGTTATAAGGTTTTTCAAGAATTTTCTAGAAAAAGCCGATAAATTTAGTGAGACCCTTGAGGATATGAAAAAGGACCAACTAGAAATTAAATGCACTATCATACACTGACTGAAATAAAAACTATACAG